GGGGAGGACCAGAGCTGTTTCCAGCCAATGCTCTGGACCACCTGACACTGAACCGGGCACCTGTGTCAGTCCCCACGACTCTAACCACCTAGCCACTCGGGCCGGCCTTGAGAGGTGATGAAAAAACGTTCCAGATATACCAACACTCCTATTACATCATTGTAAAAAAGGCGTACACACCTGGGATCGAACCAGGGACCTCACGATCAAGAGAGGGGGTGCTAAAGTGCAAACCCTCGGCGAAGTAGCTCGCAGAGAGTCTGACACGGGCTAGCATCGCGAGAGTCGATACACGCCATTCGTTGTGACTTCTTGTGCCTTCAAGATAGACAGAGCAAGCGGACCCGGTCGAGGTGCCTAGCTACTGGCCGACTTCACCACAAAAACAAAGCAAAACGACCCCTGAACCGAGCCACTAATATGCATTCGCATGCGCACGTGGGTAGTCTTTGCTTGTACGTCAGGTTTGTAATCTTCCTGTGCTTACTCTGTAATCTTACTGTAGGCTAGTAATCTAATCGTACATTTACTTTAGAGCTAGTAATCTTCCTCGTAATCTTACGAAGGTAACCGTGCGCATGCGCAGTATGAACAGCTACACTTAATTGGCATGCGCGCGCAATAGAGCACATGTGCGCATGCTCATTAAGAACCATGTGCGCATGCGCAATAGGTAGTGTGTGCGCATGCTCGGTGAGCCGCACTGCGCATGCGCTGGGCAAGGTAACCGTGCGCATGCGCAGTATGAACAGCTACACTTGGGCATGCGCAAAAGAGCATATGTGCGCATGCTCATTAAGAAATATACAACGCAAAAGAAACTGAGGAAAAATGATTAGTAAACAGCAAGGAAAATTCGACAGACAACAAAAAAAATAAAAATTAACAATTAACAATTAAACTAGACCGTCGATGGAAGGATAATAAGGCCACCCGTCAGTCCCGTGTATGACAAGTTTCTCTAGCAATACAGTTCTCACAAACTACGCACACACAATACAAAAGTCCAGAATTTTTTGAAGTAAACACACACATGCACAGTGAGGGTTCAGTTGAAGGGTCCATGAGAGTGCTGCACAATCCATATCTCATCCTCCAGCGTCATGTTCCCATCAACCACCTGTCCCCAGTAGACGTGGGTGGAGTTGACCACCTCCAGTCTCCCATACCCATGTCGAGAGGGATACCAGGAACGGAATGCAGACCATGGACCTGCACACAACACCATTTTCCACCCGATAACCAACAGCCTATGCGTACCTTTAGGTCCCAGCATAGGGTCCACACCCTCCCTGCAGCCAGCAGTACCAGATACAAGGTGGACTGGAGCCTTTGGGTCAATGTAGTTGTTGGCAGTGACTGTCTCGTTGAAGACTGGCCAGAGACGCTCATAGCTGTGCTCGTGGGCTTCAAGGATTATATCCACTCCAGCCTTGTAGAACATTTCCTCCAGTCTGGGGGAAGATGTCTTTCACTTACAAAAACACATGGTACCAAAGGCACTGAAGTGTACATATTGAAAGTTAGTAGTCACTTGCTGCATAATATAGACACACAGAAAGTGATATATACGTACATACCCAGCTCTGACAACAGACTTTGGGGTGGTGCAGTCATCTCTGTTGAGGTTGGAGCAGTACATGGGGCGGTGACCGTAGGCAATGATCCACGGACGCTCTGCTCTGTTGGTTTGAGCCTTGGCCAAGTCCTCCTGCAACCACTTCAGCTGCTGCGAGATCCCCCAGCCGGAGAAATAGGAGTAGAAATACACCTCAGTGGAGTAGCTGGAGAGATAGAGAGACAGCAGTGATTCCTGTGTGTGTGGGGAGAGAGTATTACACCTGATGAAGTGAGCAGGGCCCATGTCCCAAGAGTACCAGTGAGGACTGGAGGAGTTGGAAGGCATTGAGAATCGGTTGATGTAGTGCGAGAAATTGTAGCCACTCTCTGCATGTGAGTATAGTGCTAGTGGGACTGCAATTGAGTATGAGGATACCGACCATGGTTGCCTTCTGCAGTCATGTACGGAAGAGTGGATGCAATAGGCTCTAGTCGCCTCATAAACTCGTCTCCATTCTGTGAAATATTATCATCAATATAATTATACCATGTTAGTCACAAGTGAACGTAGCTAAGTATATACCTCTCCACCATCAGAGTCAAGATCATATGCAAAGTCTCCAACATGCACCACAGCAGCGTACTCTCCGCTGGCTGCCTCTTTGTAGAGAGAAGGCAGACTCTGGCTCCCTCCCTCTTTCCCCATGTCCCCATACACCAGGACCTTGGGGGACCAGCCTGCCCCTGACTGCATCGTAGTGAAGTGGAACAAGTCGCTCGAGTTGCCCGACGTCTGCACGTAGTACCAGTAGCCAGTGCCTGGCTTCAAATCCTAAAAGTATGAAGTACTGAAGTAGAGTTGTTCTGCAGTATTTCCATGCAGAATGTTTACCTCCAGCAAGACTCTGTGTATGTATTGGAGACCATTGGGGTTGCCGTACGTGAAACGCCAGCACGTGCCGCTCTTTTTGCTGCTCAGATGGAATTGGTCGGTTCCGTAGGCCACTGTGGAGTCGCCGAACTGGGCCGTGGACCACATGACGAACATCTGGGATGGCTGGTAGCCGAACGAAATGTGCACTTGTTCCGGTCCTACTGCACTAGCCGACGTTGCGAGGAACGCATAAATCACGCAGACAATGCAGGCCAGCAGCATTTGATTTCCCTCCATCTCTTTCTTCCACGAGTGCTAGCTCTTCAAACCACGCTCGTATAAACTCAAGGCAGCCACGCCCCTTTTATGGGCTAGCTACAATTCCATATGCGCATGCGTGGGGGCAGCGTAAGCCTCGGGCCGGCCTAAGCTCTCGCCTGCTGCTGAAACTCCATCTGTGGGTCTGCTTGTGAGAACAGGAGAAAGAATCTCTACATCAGGTGAAGATGGCGGCCCCTACACGAGGACCGACGTATAAAGTTGTGCTGCTCGGCG